GACACTCCACCACGTAACAGACAACATACTGTCAGACACTCCACCACGTAACAGACAACATACTGTCTGACACTCCCACCATGTAACAGACAACATTGTACTCTGGTGAGGCACGTGTGTTCTGGGAGGCGCGCTATGCTAAACTAGCTTAGCAGGAAAACCATGCAGCAGCACACACGCTACAAACTCTCCTCGCAGCGTTTAGGTAGCTACTTCCAGTACAGGCTGTATTGAAAAAGTACCGAAACGTACTGAACCGTGGCACCACTGTATCGTATTGAACCGAACAGAGAATTTTGTGAACTGTTACACCCCTAATTTCAAACAGAACTAGAAAAGTGCACTCCTCAGTAGAGACACAACTGGCAGATGTCCGCCAGTTGTGTTTGCAGCAACCACTAGTGTGATGTTTGAATGAATACAAACCACAAACACCTGTTTTTCACATGCATGTTTTATGCACAGATACGCTCTCATTTTATCCATGCAGCTGTCTGCACCAGCTCCATGCAGGCTCAGGTCGTCTCACGGGCTTAAACACTACCTGAAACATTTTTAAGTCTAATTTTGTCGACATTACACATATAAACACAAGGTTGATGCCCAATTAAGAGGCACTGAATGATACATTTTGCAACCTAGGACGAGCTATGTTCTGTCTCATCCACTTCTCATGCCTTTGCAGGAAAGAAATCACCAAATCCTAATTTTGTATATTGCAGGGAGTGTGTGCATTTGCAGCGCAATGGGCCTTTGAAACAATGGGCATTTGTTTTCGGGATAGGGTTAGTTCCAATGAGACATTTTTCAGACTATTGGGGTTTCTGAATAATGAATAGTCCCTGTGTAAAATGTAGCCTATACCGCCAACTTCTGACGACTTCACGCTTTGCGTAGCAGTTTATTTGCTCTAAACCAGTTGATGAAAGACGCCTAATTCACATTATTTTTTTTTAGAAACACAACTAATGATGGTAATAAAAATGTTTTTCAAAAAGTTGTGAATGACCAAATCATGAAGGGTCCTTGAGCATACAGTCAATCAATTCAATTAAATTTATTTTGTATTGCTCAAAAACACAAATCACAAATTTGCCTCAGAGAGTTTTACAATCTGTACACATGTGACATCCTCTGTCCCGGGACCATCACATAAATGTGCTCAAAAATATTTGGCTGATGGGTCCAGTAGTAATAGATTAGCTGTGGACAGACAGATGGATACACACTCATGCACACACACAAGACCGAACATATGATCTCCCCCTACGCTTAAGCCTGCTCGAGAGATCAGTTTAACAGCTTAAACTTTACAAAAATGTATTTTACATCTCCAATCCATTATTTCCTAAACAAAAAGAGTTTTTTCATTTCTTACCTTTTGAACCTGTAGAGAGGGTTTTGTATTTCCAGGGTGTGGCTGTTACAGATGAATGCTAGCACCACCACACAGAACACAGGGACTCCCATCATGCCTGTGGTTATCACAGCTGGTTTTGCTGCTGCTGCCTGGATGTCAGTATCCTGTGGGGAAAGACTAGGTGGGTTAATTGCCCAAGAGAGTGCACACATCTGTTTCCTTGCTCAGCTTGGTTGAGGAGTGGAGATATGAGAGTACGTGAAGGTAGTGTCCCTGCTGGACCTCGCTCCTTTGGCATGTCTGATTGCAATTTACACCTAGTGGAACAGCCACCTGAAAAAGCATGTTGTAAGAGCCAAATTCAATTTGCTGTAAAATATGTATTTGTATTTACATGTTTAACTTTAATCAGATCTCTTTCTACTTTGAATGTTACAAGGATGTTGTTATCATTTGTTATGGTAAGAAATATACGTAAGTGACAGACTTTCGTCACTTTAAGGACAGTTAGTTACGGCTGTTAGTAGTATCTGGAGCAGAATGGAGCCGCAGTTTTCCGACCGTGTTATGTGGACCGTGCTATGTGGATTATCCTGTGGATTAACCTGTGGATCTTTAAAGTGTGTCGAGGTAATCGGTGGTACTTTTAGGAAGAAAGGAAGTTTTTTCACTAACTTGTACGAGGGAAATTGGATCAATAAAACACTTTTTGCTTTCACCTATGAGCGGTGTCGGTGTGAGCTATGTGCATATAGTACCAGAAACACGCGTCAATTTAAGGTTTACACTTTGCTAAAGGTTTGGATGCTACACATGTGTTTAAACTGAACGCATTATTATCGTGTTGACGCATTAATTAATTAACGCAGTTTTTTTTGTTATTTAGCGGACATTTATAACACAAGAACCGGGCAGCGAGCAGTGAACAGCTGTGTTTGTGTGGCGCCTCTTCTGTCTCTTGCTACTGCTGCCGCCCCGGACCGGTCAGTCCCTCCTGTCTCTCACGCACACGCACGATCGTCTCATTACAGGATCAAACGTGACAATATCAAAATACATATTGTCGTGTTTTTAAATAGACATTTAAGCACGTGAGAACAAACTGCTCTTTATTAGCATTTATTAGAACCCTCCAGGTTCCAATGCTTCGCCTACATTCCCCTGGGTCCTAAGTCCCTCCATGTACAGCTTCTTATCACCCTCTATGTACCAACGTACATTTATAACAAATACCACACATATTACGGTAATCAGCGTTGCATGTGTCTGACCAAAATACCAAAAAAGAAATTATTCATTTAAATTATTGTTTTAGAGTTTTTTAAATGTATAATAAGCATAATTTAGTTATTGCTACTGAGAATTTAACAAACATAAAAACATGACGTAGATAGGTTTGCAGTTTTCAAGGTGTATATTTCAAATTGCATCTCTTACACACATGAAGATAAAGTTGTGAACACCAGCTGAATATCTATTATCAGAATCATTACAACTGTGTTATAACTGCTACTGTGTAAAGAGAATACTGCTGTTAAAAAGAACCTGAAGTGTTTACAAACCAAATGTTATTGACCTGTTGTTCATATAGCAGTACTTTTAAAATAAAAGTGCGCAGTACACTACTTTTTAATTAATTATTGAACTTTGCGCATAACAATGCGATTAATCGCGATTAAAAATTGTAATCATTGCCCAGCATTAATATATACACACAAATTATTTAAAACATTTTCGTTCACATTAATGTAAACATTAATATTCTTAATAATGCACCATGTTAGAGGGCTCCTTGTACAATTTACAGTATTAGTTATCTGAGAATGTCTTAATATCCCAGCAATATTGTTTTTAGAACTGAAATACCCCTAATCTAATCGATATTCAATCAAATTGAATCGAAAATCAAGTCTAAGGGACCATTTGAATCGGAAACAAATAAATTAATGGTTGAATTAACAACATTCTTTTACTGAACTGAATACAAAAGGCACCAATTAAAAAACAAGAATGATTGCTACATTTTCAGGTGCAGGTTTCTGATACTCCCTTTCAAATAACTCAAAAAGTCCCTGAGCATATGGACAATAAGGTTCAAAACATAAACTCAAAAAACTACTTCTCCTAACACAATACTACACTGACAAATTATATTGTAGAATGTAGCTCTCAAATGCATACCGTAGTCCTTTCTGCCTCCCTCTGATATTCTAGAACTATAATTCCACAAATCTGCTATTATCTCTTTTGGAATATCTCTCATCTGCCAAGCTAGTGTTCTGTGCTTGTGTAAAAGTAGCAGCAGTGGCTGAGAGACTGTGGACAGAGCAGATTGAAATAGGTATCGCTTTTGTTAACATGTAAACTATCGGCTTTTTACTTGTAAGTAATTTCTTGCCCTTGTAGTAATGAGTCGTCAACTCAAGTGATCTTTACTTCACCTGGTTCACTTCAGTGTATCCATCGCTCTGCTGTGTATGCTGACTTTACTCTGAGTGTTTGTATGTGTGTAGTTGGAGGAGTTCAGCGCTGCAATGCAATGATGAATTACACCAAAACATAAAAAAGTGCCAATAAAAAGTACTAGTAACTTGGAGCTTATCAATACTACTTTAATAATTTTGCACCAGGGCCTGTTTAATACCGGGTTTCAGTACCCATCCCTACCTTAAGGTAATGTAAAAATGCAATAACATCTCGCTAGAGCCAGTGTTGTTTTGTCCGTTCTGGGCTGCTGTGGAAACATGGCGGTGCAACATGGCGGACTCTGAAGAGGACCCGCTCCCTAGATATAAATGGCTCTTTCTAAGATAACGAAAACAAAACAATTTTTAGTTTTAGGTCATTATACACTAATACAACCTTGTCACGAATGTTATATGTTATTTCAGCAAACAAGATATCTTATCTTTCCTCACACATACAGTAGCTCCTCTATTCTTACTTGGTTTGAAGGAACAGTGTGTAACATTTAGTAGGAATAGAGGAGCTACTCTATGCGTGAGGAAAAGCCCGCTAGGTGAACTAATGCAGTGTAAAATGACTGTAATTTGACTGAAATTCTTTGCCAATTACATGCACCCCCAGCCCAACTGTAAAACACATTGCAATGCTAAAGGATAATATAGTCATTCCCCATTCACACTCCACTAACTTTACTTGACTGAACGGCACTTATTCATTCCCAAATAACTCCACATTTACCTTCACCAGTATAAAGGCTGCTCTGCTGCTCCCATGTCCTCAATAACCATGCATTATCATAATGATGAACTCCCTGTCTGCGTGTACTTTTATCTCCTACTGTTATAAGTAGACACAGTAACATTCTCTACCACAGAATGTGTAGTCTTGCATTGTGATATAGTAACTTATTTGGATAAAACAGTGGTTTACTGTGTGTGGATAAAACAACCACACAGGAATATCTGCTTTTCTCCCATCCAGCTTATTAACTAGCTAATAAATAAAGGAAATTCATCACATTCATGAAACATGTACAGTAAGATCAAACCTATGTCAGTCATACTCATTGATTTATAAAAGTTATGAATAGTTTAATACACCCGGAGATATTTAACTGATAGCAACCACGGCATAAATCTCTTCAACAGTTGACAAATCCAACGTCCCCTGGTACTTCTCATAGATCCTGACCCTACTGACCACCATGGACTTTCAGCTTTGCTCATATCACATTTACCCTGAAACCCAGAGGATGCTTTTGTATGCAAAGGAAAAATCAGTGAGATGTTGAGCTTGCTTAGTGACTCATCCTGTTCCCAGAGTAAGGTGGGAATAACAGAGAGGAGGAGTGTGAGAGGGGGTGCTGTGCTGACATCACAGCCTACTGAGGAGATGGAGGAAACTATGGAAACAAGGCTCGTCCCATGCACTTATGGACCACTGCACGTATTGCACCATAAAAAAACCCGATAGGATTTAAGATTGAAAATGTCCCCGTTGATGTACTTCTACAGCCACCTGAAACCTTATCTATAAGCATCTTATTAATGCAGCGTTATAGTACACGGATGTTATATTTTCGAAGTAAGAGCTGGCCATTTCCAATAACAGCAAAGATGTCGCGTTTGCTAATACTGTGATAAGTTCCTCTTCATCAAGGAACATCTGCATAGCCTCCGGTGGTCATCAAATAGACCTAAAGCTACAACTTATTTTATTGTATCAATTTCAATATGTTCACAGTTGATTGTTTTTATTTTTCATCGCCTAAACACATCATTAACTCACGAATACATAGATGTGACGCCTAAACTTCCGTAAAACAAGAAGCGTGAAATGCAGATAGCATCTTTACCTAGTGCTAAGCTAGGGGTGACGGTCCATGTACACAGAGCGCACAGAGCCCTCTGTCCAAGCAAGCACACCGTACAGATTAGAACAGATATACTTGACTGTAGTTAAGTAAACTCCTTAACTAATGTTAGCTAATACATGCAGTGTACAGGAGCTAACGTTCGCTAGCGGTATCTAGTGCGTGGTGACATGTCAAACATCGAATGTGAGCTGTAATTCATTTCACAGAAGATGTCTAAAGTCTGTGTTAGCTTCAGACTTAGCTCGACGGGACATTTAAAGAGATCATCTTTGTAGATAAAACGGGTACCTGTTCGCTGCCGCTCCAAGTCTTTCAATCGCCGATAGAAGATATAACTCGTTGGTAATAATCAATGACAACCACACTTCCACTTTTCACAATAAAAGCTTCATCTCTACAAAGGTGAAGCTCACAGAAACTACACGCACTCACTTACATAGATGAGCCTTTTAGCGACAGGGTCTGTGTCGATTGCATTACTACCTGATTATGTGTTTGTTTGTGTCCGGATGTTGCCTCGCTTCCTCATACGAGTGGTGACGTAGAGGTCTGGAACTGAGCAATTCTATGGATGTATATGTTCCCACGAATGTGGAATGACAAATAATACGTTTAGTGCATTTGTATAGTCAAATACCAAGTTCCTTAAATATAGTGCTATTATTCTGCAAATCTGTTTTCTTTTTCTTATTCCGGCTGCTGGTGGAATTCCAGCCGATATAGTGACGCAGTTGAACGAGCAGTGGATGAGTTGTTTTCGTGAGTGCTGAGTCACAACACCATGTGAACCCACGTAGCTACAGGTACGTTAGTGAAATACGCTAAATAATGTTCAATATCTTATGTTATCGCCTTACATTGACTGGACGTAAGCTTGATATGCTTACCTGCCTTTGCAAACTGGTCGTTAAACGTCAGACGGAACCCTCAGTCATATGCGCCGACATCAGTTTGTATTCTCATTTGTTTTAAACCTTCCAGCCATCCATGGTTGCTCTATTGTGCACATGGATGTATACGTGTGCAATAGTGCAAAGCACCATAACATATCGTGCCTTTGTCGAGGTCTGTGTTTCCCTCCCGTTAAAATGGCGTTCCACACAACCTGTTTGTGTGGCTCTGTGGAGGTAGGTCTGGCTACCACATGAGGCTTTGCTTAATTACGTTCGAGTAAGAAATCGCTTGCAATAACCCGGTCGAGGCAACCGCTGTTTGGAGTTTGTTGCCTATCTGTTCTTGCGGTCATGATACGAGTGCTGAGAGCAGCCAAAATGACGAAAATAGACTTTTCCTTAAGACCAGGGCTGCGGTCAAAAAGTAAAACAATGATGTACTAAAGTCTTTATCTGACAACTTTTCTTTGACGTCGATGGACAACGGCATGGGGTCAAGGGAAATGTGAAGATTCATAAAGATTTAGGAAAAGACAACTGCGGTGCTCAGAGAATCCAACTTCACTTTCACTGAGCGACGTAGTTGTGATGTTCCCGACGTGAGTGTAACATGGTGAACTACATCCAAGATGGACACCAAGAGCGCATCATACGCGCTGTTCCGTGTATTTATACTTCTAGTAACCCTCTGAACCTCAAGCTGTTAGAGGGCGTTTTTCTGCTCCTTTCAAATTTGAATCTCTGGTCTTGATTTTCACTGCAATATGAAAGTCGTGCACCTCTTTAAACAGCACAATCATGGCTAGAAGTAGAGAACTCAATACATGTCTTCTGTGCAGTATAACACAGTAGCTATGCCACAAATCCCAAAAAAGAAAAAAACTTAAATTGAATTTCTTTGAGAATTGCTTTTACATAAATTGGAAAACAATGGAATCTATATATCCAACATTTTTCCAAGTTGCCACAAGTGTTTAGAAAAAGATGGAGGCTTTACGTGCTATTTGAACTATGTCCATTTTTCAAATTCTACTTACAAACTCTGCTGTCCTCTCCTCAATGCAATGTGTTGAGTTTAACTTGTTCTATATACGGCTCCTTTAGTAAAAGGCTACTTTACGAAGGACAGATAAGGATACCGCAGGCCCTTCCTTCCTGCTGCTTTAACACTTAAAGGAACAGTGTGTAACATATATGATAAGAATCGTTATGTTTTTGTTGTCTTACAAAAAGCAATTCATTTTTTCTATTTCTACATAACTAACAGATCCTCATCCACGGATTTTCGACATGTCGCACCGCCATGTTTCTACAGCAGGCCAGAACGGACAAACCCAACACTGGTTCTAGCAGTGGTGTGTACTTAATGATAATCTATTGCTGTACAGCAATAAAACATTCGCAAGTAAAAAGCCAATACTTTATTAATATAGATAGATACATAGATATGTACTTCATTCATCCCCAGGGGGAAATTTGTATGTTACAGCAGCAAGACACACCAAGAAGCAAAGTAACAGAGTAACCAAAATATTAAGTATTAAAAAATACACAATATATACAATAGAAAAATAGAGTAGGACAAGTTAAATATCAGAATATATAAGATAAAACAACAAAAATGCACATATGTCCGTTCAACAAGCATGAACATGTAAACGAAAGTGAAACCTAATTTAATCTGCTCTGTCTGAAGTGTCTCATCCACCACCGCTATGTTTATATTGTTAATAAACTCTCGGTCTGTTTGCCAGATTCACTCACAGCTGGTGGAACAATAGATTAGACAGATGACAAACCGCTGCAGATGTCGAGCGCGTGGGTGTGGGTGTGGGTGGGGGTGTGTGGGTGCATGGGTGGGTGTGTGGGTGTGGGTGGGGTGTGTGGGGCTTCATGAGAGTTAACAGCAGCTGCTGGCAGGGAGAGGTGTTTGTACCAGCCTGCAGAAGTGAAAACTACTTGTAACTTGGAGTAACTGTGGGTTCCAGTCATTGAGTTCTCTTTCCCATCGTCTGTTTCAAAAGCCATCATTTCAAATGTTCCTGATTTCATCATTTCTTTGTCTTTGGTTTTCCTCCCTGAGTTTATTACATTCCCTTTGTAATCTCTTCCTTGCATAGTCTATTCCTGTCAGCAGGTGGCGCTGGCTTAGCATCTGGTACTGATGACAATTCTAGGTGGACATCCACTGCAACTAGCTTCTTCTCCTCCACCCTCTTGTTCTTCATTCTGCTGAGCAGCTCATATCGCTCCATGTCTTGCTCCTCTCTTGTCTTCTTGCTGGCTGGTGTGTGTGTGAGAAGGCAGATGAAACCCTGTCAGGGGACAGCGGCTCATCACATTTGGCGCCTGTATTGATAAAAAAGAGTTTATGTCTAACAAGTTAGAAAAAACATTTAAATGTGTGATGTCATTTCTGCAAACTGGTTAAACCCTCTCTCCCTTAAAACAACTGCTAAGTCTTCAGACTGCAGAGTAACCCTTTCTATAACTATAACTTATTACACCCTCAATCCCCCAAGAGTTTGGATGCTGTGTAAAACGTGAATACAAATGACAGAAAGCATCATATGAGTTTATCAGTGTGAACATTAGCTCAACATCGTCTCTGTAATGTATGCAGTTGGAAATAGATGCAAAGGATTTACAAACCACTGCATTTTGACTTCATTTACATCTAAATGACTCTCAACTCGTCTGCTAACAGTTGGTGTAACTCATCAACGCCTCGGTCCACGACAGCAAACCATGTCGGAACAATTACGCAAAGATCTGATTTATGGCTAAAAACACAACAATGAATACACCCAGTGTTTAGTTGAGCTTACCTTTGATAAAGTAGGTGGACACTTTGACGGCTGCCACTGTTTGCCCTCCCCAGGGACAGAGGCGCGTTTAATGGCACAAATCCACAGTCTGCTCCTTTCACAGTTCTCTTTCTCGGAAGGGACTCTGTAGAAACATGGCCCAGGCTTGTCTCCTTGTCGGTTAGTGCATCCGATTGGCGAAACGACAGAAATCACTCAATTCGTAAGCTTGCAGGCAGCGGAAGACAGCATTGTTTGCTCTCCAAGGGGGCTTCCCCTAAGGACATGACATCACGTGAAAACTGTGAATAGAGTGCGAGTACATCCGACACAACACTGACTGCAGTTCACTTAACGGCCACTGGTGCAATAATAACAAGGGCTTTCTGGAAATGTCACATACACCCTCTGAAAATATTCTTTTTTTAAATATTTTGCTGACATCCGGTGGTTTAACTTCTCATGTTGCTACAGTGATGAACATTGTTGGGTGTGGCCACAGGTACAACAGAACACATTTCATTGGTGGATGTGGTCATAAATGTGCTCTGTGAAACAGAGTTAGAACTTTTAACCAGAGGAGGCAGCAAAGTATACTTCTATTATCTTTGTTTTCCATTTCAGATAGAGGGCACCATGGGTCGGAACAGCAGCAGTTCAATGTCGCATGGTTTTCCAGTGGTGGGGATGTGCCTTGCTGCTTTGCTCCTCAGCAATGCCTTGATCTACCTGTACCTGGATTCTTTGTATCAGGATGATGAGCCGCTGGTGTCCTCCCATGTTGGCTGTGTGCCTCCACATTTTAAAATGGCGACCATGAAGAACTGCATCCCCTGGCTCCAGTGTTCACAGATACATGCTGAAGTACGCAAGCTGAAGCTGATTGGCCAGGGAGCTGTTAAGAAGGTAGAGGGTCTTTTATACTCTATATTTTATGCATTTATTGTGTGAACTAAATTACAGGGAGTAGATGCATAAAACCTCTCAACTATGTTAATTCCACTTTACATTCGGTTTGCTTTCCAGTTTTGCCAGTCCGATCCGGTGTACAAGTTTAAACCGGTTTCATTTTGTGCGCACCGGATAAACTGCCGTTTGTCATTATGTCACAATCCGCATGCGTATGCATACATGAAATTTGACTCTGGTTTACACATTGCTCTCAACGTACATACATGGAATATACAAATAAACAAGAAAAACATAAAAACAAGGACATTAAAGACAACAAAGTAGAACAGAGAAACTAAGCATAGACATTTAACTACTGTGTACAATATAAATATATATCAAAGAATATATATGAACAATGTCAATGGATTTGGGACATTAGTGCAAATGGTGGTAATAGTGCGAAAGGAGGTGCAGTTTGTCTGACTAATGGTGGAGATCCTTGCCTAGCGCCTCAGCTTAGTGTGACATATTGTGAGGTTATTTCATTGGTGCTGCAGGGGAGTTTAATTAATGACTCCCAAGAACCAAACCTATCTCATGTAATCAAATCAGAACACACGGCCAATGCTGCTTTGCATCTAATGATGTGATGGATTTGTTGTAGGCAGCACATGTTGTTTGAGGAGTGTCTACCTCTTCATAAAACCAGTTTGGTGAATTTAGATATGGATGGCTTTTTCCAATCTCATAGATAGTACTTTACTAATCATTTAGATAAATTGATTGATTGAATAGGATGAGTGGGAGGGAAGGGTTGTTGTGCCGGGAGATGCCCATCTGTAACTCAGATGGAAGTTTTAAGGTTAACTCCTTCAGAGCGTGCTCTTTAATACGGGTAAAGATTGTCACACGTGTCTGAATGTCGAGTACAGCTTCTTTACTTAGCAATTTACTCCATTTTCTGTTGCAATTCATGAAAAGTAGGTCTGAGTTGGTCGTCCCTTTGCAGATCGTCTACTTGTTTTTGGTTGAATTCCATGCTTTCTTTAATGTCCAGAATATCTTGTAGCATTAAATCCATTGAGTGAATAAATATTAAAAGAAAATACATAATTGCAATATTGAGTGTATGACGAAGGAATTGTGTAAATCAGATACCCCATATATAAAAGAGGTATAATATAATGAATTATTATAATGCAACTAATTATTTTCTCCACGAGGCCACAGGACAGAAGTTGAAATGAGCAGTTTGCAGCAAG